GGAAAGATATATCCCGAGGGCTTCGCCCGAGGAATATATCTTCCCGAGGGGGTAATATTTCGTCGAATTCCCCGAGCGGAAGGTCTGTAAATTATATATTATATCGAAACAACGTGTAGGCAGCGCAAAAGCTGGGTGAAATGTGGTGAAATGGCTTCTTTTGCCTCCATTTTGAAATTGTTGACAACCTCAAGTCGTGTGCGAGGCATCCACGCGTGGTACACGCAAACTGGAATACCCCGCTGCAGCGGGGTATTCGACTTTTATAGCATAATGTGAAAAAATTCGATGGAACTCCATGATTAATTTACTGATCACGTACAAATCGAGCTTTCTGATTGGTTGATTTACAGTTGAGATATAATATTATAAGTAATACAATAAGATATAAAATCTAATCGAATCATTCATCAAGGGATACCAGGCCTCCCAATATGAATGGTCAGCGAGAGTGGACGACGTCTTAAAATTAAAAAGATCGAAAGAATACAAAAGGAACTGAAAAAGCTAGATCAATAACGACTGTGGCACTACACAAAATTTTTTAAAATTTATAAGCATGTATATACAATTATACACTGATTAACTTGTTGTAATTTTGATAGTTTCCAGTTGTCAAAATTCTATCTTCTCACATTTTAAAGTTTGCTGATCTATGATTCGAAACCAAAGTTCGAGTTAACCGGATATATTTGACCAAGGGGAAACAAAATTTGTTCGAATTAGCGAGGAGTTCGATTTAGCGAGTTCGAGTTAAGCGGAGTAAATTACTATAAAAACACTGTCAAACTCAAGGGGAATTGGATTTATTTCGAGTTAGCGAGGAGTTCGAGTTAAGTGAGTTCGAGTTAGCGGGGGACTACTGTACTTCAAAATATTGACAAAGAATCAAAGATCGGAATACTTTTATAATAAAATATTAAATAACAAACATGCTTGTACATGTAATGTTTACTACAAGGTAAATAACAATGTTAATATAAATAGGTTGAAGTCCATATTTGCTTCATAAACAGAATTATTGAACATAACAGTATTGAATATATATTAAACCAAGTATTAAAATATATCTATGAATTGAGATGACATGTACTAACAATTTTGTGCATTAATTAAAGACAATTGTATTATTACTGTGGGTTCTTTAATATTGTCCAATACTCCCAGTGACATCCCACTGAAATTCCTGCAGGTGCATAGACCTTTTTAAAAGGAAAATGTGCTTGCTTATGTAATTAATTATTATTATTTTCCCTTGTTTAATTGTAGCACTTGTATTATTTTGTACTAAAACTAGACAACAACTTGACTGTAACTATTTCAAAAAAGATCTACTATGGTGGGATTTCTTAAACAGAATTGCCAAAGTATGGAGCAGGACAAATAATTCATTATGAATATAATCAACATATAAAATATTTATTACACCATTAACAGTGAAATATTTACCTCTTTATCTGAACATTATTTGAATTATGTGAGGTAAAAAGTCATATAAATTAAGATTAATAAATAATATATTAATTACATAATTATATTCAAAGTCATTGTTGCTCCAAGTTTCAGTGTATTCTTGGAAGCAAACCCATTAACTTGTCAAGAATGCATTCACCACATTTCCACCACAACCATAATTCCTGCTTAAACAAAACTGTCCAGAGGTCTTGTTCACATAGCCTGAAATAAAAAACAAACAAGTGACACTGTGTCAGTATCTTTATTTACCTTTTAATCACACACATTGAGCTTTATAAGGCATATTAAGAACTAAAAAGATTTCTGCAAAAAATACTATTACAGTATTATACTAATTGCCTTCAGATTTTGGAGGATTTACATTGAACCACCTACCCAAATTCTATCTATATAATGTACATCAATGTACATCACAATGACAATGCAAACATCGCATTTATACTATGAGCTTGTAATCGCTTTGTCTTTTACCTCAAGGAATTCAAACTGTGAGTAGCTGTCTCATGATTCGTGACATGGAAGCGTTTACAGGTTTTAATCACGCCAAATGGGCCAAACAAACTCGCACTGACGCACAAGCTGCACATTCCCCGAAGCCATTCCATCCATTCCCCGGCTCATTCCCCGAAGCCATTCCATTCCCCGGCTCATTCCCCGAAGCCATTCCATTCCCCGGCTCATTCCCCGAAGCCATTCCATTCCCCGGCTCATTCCCCGAAGCCATTCCATTCCCTTCCATTCCCCGTTCCATTCCCCCATTCCCCGTTCCCTGTTTTAAAGATAGCCTTCCCTGAAGCCATTCCATTCCCCGGCTCATTCCCCGAAGCCATTCCATTCCCTTCCATTCCCCGTTCCATTCCCCCATTCCCCGTTCCCTGTTTTAAAGATAGCCTTCCCCGAAGCCATTCCATTCCCCGGCTCATTCCCCAAAGCCATTCCATTCCCTTCCATTCCCCGTTCCCTGTTTTAAAGATAGCCAAGTGGAAGGACTAATTAATAAAAGGACGCAGAGTCATTAGACTGGCATGTTAATTTATAGTTTTATTAATTACGCACGATTAGAATACATTTTAATTTTTGTTTTACATCATTTGTTTTACACCTTATTTCTGTAGTTTCATCCGGCCCACATTTCAAAATTCGGCGTGAAATATTAATATATTTCTTACAGAATGATTGAAAATTCTTACAGTGTCAAAACATTTCCGGCTGGTTTAAAACAATTCAAACAGTCTTGTCTAGAGGTTTGAACCGTTGTCTAGATGTTGTGTCCACATGCCCGCAGCCGGAAAGTGTTTTCTACGGTGGCTCAGAAGGGACATGGTGTTTACACTCAATTACATTGCACATTTTTATTTACATTGCGACAAAGGTTGCGAGTTTCCACTTACGTCGCGCGTTACATTGCGACTTATACGTTGCGAGTTTCTATTTACGTTGCGAGTTGCCTGGCGAGATTCTATTTACGTTGCGCGAGTTACGTTGTCACCTACGTTGCGAGCTACGTTGCGACTTACGTTGCGAGTTACGTTGCGACTTACGTTGCGAGTTACGTTGCCACTTACGTTGCCACTTACGTTGTCACCTACGTTGCGAGTTACGGTGCGAGTTACGTTGTCACTAACTACTTCCGGACTACTTTTGGACTACTTCCGGCACTAAAGTGTTAATCTTATATTGCTATTATAAAAATATTCTCTCTTTCTAATTTCATTTTATTCTTTGGTTTACCATGTTAACATACAATAGAGGTATTTTCGCCATGAACCTTTATTTATGGTTATGCCCAACCCTGGCCGTTCTACCGCAGTACACTCCAGCAATTCAAGCAGATGGTTTGACCCGAGATGAAATCGTCGAAAAGTATTTTAACCTTGGACTTAATTATCTAGAAATCGTGGAATTTCTTCTTCATGTGCATGGAATTCGTCTTAGTTTAAGGCAAACAAAAAGGATCCTTCGCAAAAGAGGTTGTGCAAGACGGAACGCGGGAAGCGATTTCAATGATGTAGTGAAAGTAATTGAAAACGAACTGAAAGGAAGTGGATCGATTATTTGATATAGGGCAATTCATCATTGAACACAGACTTAATGTGACAAGAAATGTCGTACGCCAAGTTTTAAAAATTTTGGATCCGGAAGGTGTACGTGCACGGTCTAGACATAGACAAAGGAGAAGGATCTATACTGCCAAAGGCCCGAACTATTTATGGCATATAGACGGTTATGATAAACTCTAGCCATTTGGTTTCTGTGTCCATGGTGCCATAGCCTGCGGGCAGTCCCAAGCCACGTAAACAAGGAACCCTAACCCTAACCCTAACCCCTAACCCTTTCCTCGTTTTGGGACTGCCCGCAGGCTATGGTGCCATTGACGGCTACAGCCGTCGAATCTTGTGGTTGGAGGTTGCATTTTCCAATAACGACCCTGAAATTGCAGGTTCTTATTTTATGGACTACGTGAATGAGATACGAGGGACAGCATGCATCATTCGGGCTGATATGGGAACAGAGAACGTGAACGTGGAATGCATGCAAAGATTCTTCCGTAGATCATCACAGGATGACTTTGCAGGCGATAGGAGCTTTATTTATGGAAGATCGACATCAAACCAACGAATTGAAGCTTGGTGGGGACTTTTGCGTAAGGGATGTACGGATTGGTGGATGAGATATTTTAAAGATTTAAGAGACCAAGGTTTATATAATGACGATGACATTACTCAACGTGAACGCCCTAAATTTTGCTTTATGGACATCATTCAGAGCGAACTTCATAGAGTAGTGAGAAATTGGAACTTACATAGGATACGGCCAACGAGAAATGCGGAATATCCGTCTGGTCGACCAGATGTTCTCTATTTTAATCCGCATGTAATGACGACACAAGATTACCTAGTTCCTGTCGAAATGGAAGAGAGAAATATTGCCACAGAAACGTGCTGTCGAAGACCTTTGGAGCAAGGCTGTTCCGTGCATTTTAATGAACTTGCAGCGATGATAATGGAAGATGAGGTATTATCAATGCCGATTAATGCGACCGAAGCTAAGGAACTATATGTAGCTCTTCTTGGCCTAATCGAGGAACTTAATGTAGACGATTGAATTTAGGAGTCAAGGCTAGAGAATGACTTTTAAAAGCCAAATTCCTGCACATAATGCTTCAACGTGTCATTATACAGAAGGCTAGTATTTAGAAGCATTGATATCATACATATAACAAAGTAAAAACAGTTATTTTAGTCCAAGGTAAATATATTAATGATAGATACAACTCAACATATGTCATGCACGTATCTAACTTAAGACTAGTTTCTAGTGATACCGCGATGAAACGTTTGGGTATGAATCAACATATTCAAATTTATTTGCCTCATCCGCATGAAATTTGTGTACTTGCCAAACGAGTACAAACAAGTAGTTTAGTCTTAGGTGTTTCATGTCAGAAATGCTTCCGGATAAATTACTGAGTGCATTTTGGAATTCATTGTGATTATGGGTTGTCGGAAAAAACGTTTGATCGCGATATTTTTAAAGGTAACGAAAACCTAATCGTAATTGTAACCATAACAGTTGTATGTCCCGAAACGAACGTTCCACTAACATTTGTGCACACAGGTGCATATATTCGTAATGTTTATCTTATATGTTGTCCAATATGAAAAGTAATGTGAACAGAAACTAAGTAATGTGAACAGAAACTTAACAAAGTGATTACCCATATTTGAGTGTTAAATCTAAAAAGTTGGTTACTAAAAGTTGCGAACTGTTGTTGTGAACAATAGTTACTATACGCAGAACTGCTCTCGACTTAGCAAATGTCTATGTCCCAAAATTCACTAGACAGGATATTGTTTAATTCCTCTCGTAATTGTGGAAACGAATTATAGGTTGTTGGCAACTCTAGAAAAGCACCGCAAATGTGAGCAACAGGACGCCTTTCTAACCCATTGAGGTTGGTAAAATCAACTGTAATCTTCTCAATGCAGATGATGGTTGCACCCGTACAGAAGCGTAAAAATTTGACCAGCTTTTCATCGTCCAGCCCCTTTGAGCGTTGCTCGATGGTGTTGCCTCTATTAATCCTAATACCTTTTTCACGGTCGGTTTTGACTTCTCGTATAATTGCTTTAAATCTTCTACCGTGGATAACATTCCTGACGCTTGAATTTTCTTAAAAGGCTCTTTCCAACTATCTATGATGTATTGGGCTACCTGGATCATTTCTTTGTGAGATAGCTCCAGAAGTACCTCCATTCTTTCCTCTACTTTGGGTATTTTTCGACATTTAAATCTTTCGAGGAAATCTTCCCATTCTTCATTTTGTTCATCACTTAGTTTCTTATTTGCTAGAACTTCGCTAACAAGGTCCCTCTCATCACTCGAGATGTAACACAAGAACGATTCAATCAAGAAATCTTTCGTTATTTCTTTCTCGTTGAACAAGATCGCAGATATGAAAATTTTGCTTAGTTTAATCGGGAAAAATTTCACCTCCTTGTAGCCCTTGACTAATATTCTAGCTATCGCAGTCCACTCTGGAACTTGGTAGTCGTGTCGTACGACGGGTACACGTTCTTGCTCTCCGACAGTGCACGAGTCATAAAACTGTGACCAAAATGCTGAAAGTGCATCGCGGAAGACACCTTGATTATCCTCTCCTAATTCCCTTTCCCCAGAACCATTAATCATCGCAACTTTAATTTCACTTCCCATTAATGTCTCGTCCTAGAAGATTTCCACCATATCTCGAACTATGTTCACTCGCCTCAGTTTAATGACTCTGAAAAATACCAACATTGCATTGCTGTGACTCCATGCACATAGGAAAAGCCGAATTATAAAGAATATGTTATACGTTTTGTATTAAGAGAAAATCTTTTAACAAAAATATAAAATAGCAATGAGTTCAGACTGGCGACAACACAAATTGACATTATATGATATATATGTATTTGATATATATGATTCAAGACCTATATGATAGCCGTACATCGTCGCATATTGATGTCGTACACGTACATGCTCATGCTCATTATCTTTAATAAATGAGCTTGCTCCATCATAATGTAGGTTCGATATAAAGACCCTGGGGCCGGTTGTTCGAAAGGCGTTTAGCTTAAACGGTGGATAAGTTCAAAATGGAAAACCAAATTATCTATTTATTGAACAACTGAGCTGAAATTTTTCGATGTAAATTGTTTAATTGTCGATGGAAGTATATGGTGGCCGATAGCTATCATAGAAAATTTTGATTAAATCAATATGAAATTTTCAAAAATATATAAATAAAACGAAATAAAATAAAAAACAAATGATAAAGCAAATTAAATTTCAAATAAAATGAAAATAAAGTGCTTTTAAAATCAAAGGCAAAGCCAAATTAAATTGAAATTAAAAATACTACCGGCCGAGCGCTATCAAAGCAAAATCAAATTGAAATAAAATGAAATTTCTTACCGGCCGAGCGCTATCATAGTACACCGTGAAGCTTTGCGCCGCTAGTACAAGTACCCAGACCCTTGCAGCTAATTTACACTTTTTCCGATCGAAGTCGAAGCTAATATAAGCATGGGTGACCGGGCGGCTTGGAAAAACTTTCAAAAACAAATGACAGCAAAGAGAGGGAACAAAAGGCCCAATGCGAAGATTTTGGAAGAAGAGTCTATGACAGTTCAACGATTGAGTGCCGACGTTGCCGGGAAAGCGCAAAAATATCAACGAGTCGGTGCGAGGGAATTTGTGCCATTCGAGTACGAGGAGTTGACTATTGAAAACATAAAAAGTGCGTGTTTACATCATTTTGATGTGAGTGAAAGTGCTGTTTGTGATGTCCTAGCAGGCGAACAGGGCCCCTCATGTTCGTCTGTTAAACAAATCCCGAATCTCAGCGTCATTCACGTGCGTTTTATTGAGGGCGAAAGCAAAGTCGCCGATGTTACAGTGATCAATGTCCCCAAAAAGAAACGAAAGACTGCCGTCTCGTCGCCAGTAAAGTCGACCAAAGTAAAAGAAATTCAACCAACTACAAGTAAATTCATACCGCGCAGCATATCGGCTGTGGAAATGTTAAAGCTGGGAAGAGAGATAAGGTCAAGCCAGACTAACGAAGTAATTATTCATAGTTTTGATATGGCAGAATTAGCATGGAACCCGACACCTGTGAAAGCAGCATTCGTTATTGAAGCGGATCCGTTCGACAAAGGGGGATTCCGGCAAGCCTTTAAAGCGACAAGTGTCACCAAAGGGTTTGATGGTATCACATGGGTCGTGAAAAAATATCTCGACCAGACCAAGTCAGATATTGAAGTTCTGGGTCAAACAGTCGAGCAACATACTAAAAAGGTTGTGCAAATGCACAATCTAGCCAGAAATTTCACCGTGAGACTGGAAAAAGAAATCACTACAAAAGGCATAGTGGATAAATTTGGTCCGACCTTCAAGTATAATAAGATATACTATGGTATCTCTGCAGGCGAATGTGTAACGGTTGAAGAATTTGTGCCTGGTACATTCGACAAATATGTAAACAATAATGGAGATATCTGCAGCCAAGAGTTGAATGGGGAAATTAGTCAGAAAGCACAGTGTTTTGTACACTACACTTTTGCAAGGTCCGAGCAACAATTGATGGTCTTGGACATTCAGGGATGTGGTTACACTCTCTTTGATCCAGAAGTTGCCACCAAAGAATCTTCATCAGAAGGAGAATTTCTATTTTGCACTGGAAATCTATCGGCAAATGCCATACATAGCTTTTGTCTCTCCCATGTTTGCAATCAGTTCTGCAAACTACTTGGATTAAACAAGCTTGCAGAGCTGGATTAACTGTGCAACATATCGATGTATCTTATATCGAAGTGTCGAAGTCTCCTATCGAGCGTCGGAATACTCCAAGCATACTCAGGAAAATCACGCTTCAAAAAATCCAGCATTTCCTTTCGTGTGATGCCCTGTCTTACATAGTTTTCCATATTTTCTTTAAGCGCACAGTCGTCTTCCCAAGCAGTGTTTCTAACCCTTTCGTTTGATGAAGAAGCCATCTTGAAAATGGCTTCTCTCGCAAGGGCCTGGGTACTTGTAGTAGTTGTAGTAGCGAAGCGGCGCAAAGCTTCACGGTGTACTATGATAGCGCTCGGCCGGTAAGAAATTTCATTTTATTTCAATTTGATTTTGCTTTGATAGCGCTCGGCCGGTAGTATCTTTAATTTCAATTTAATTTGGCTTTGCCTTTGATTTTAAAAGCACTTTATTTTCATTTTATTTGAAATTTAATTTGCTTTATCATTTGTTTTTTATTTTATTTCGTTTTATTTATATATTTTTGAAAATTTCATATTGATTTAATCAAAATTTTCTATGATAGCTATCGGCCACCATACAAGTATATATTAAATGCATTAGATGTAGGTTCAGTCATTCACAAGATGTATGAGAGTATTTTTAAACTTTGGCTTGTCCACCGTTTAAGCTAAACGCCTTTCGAACAACCGGCCCCTGATGAAGATGAGAATCGTTCTTTAAATGGAGGTCCCTGGGCGATTATATTTACTCTATGAATTCCCTTAAGAGATTGAAGGGAAAACATTTTGCCATTTTTTTAAGGCAAATTCCTTCGCCTTGATTTTAAAATAACTTGATAAATAGAAAACGTCATTATATGGAAAGCATATAAAGATAATTGAACAATTATGTATCCTATCATGTATTTTTACCTGAATCGACGCGACACATCGTGTAAGTCGTCTTCATTGTTGTGAACCAGAAATTCGTTACTGAAAAACAATATTGAAAGTATTCCAAGTATATATATATATATATATATATATATATATATATATATATATATATATACCGGGTGTCCCAAAAAAAGTACTCCGGTTTGATTCATAATAGCTTCTAAACTAGCTAAGCTATTAAACTGAAATAACTTTCACTAGATAGAGGGAAGACTAACTTAGATTTTAATATTTTACAGTTGTATTTTACTTAAAAACGTACGGAGATATCAATGTTCAAAATTGGTAGCATATTTCTGGATGTGTCTAAATTATGCAAAAAACGCTGTATCAGATATTAATCAAGCTTTTCTCAACTGAAACATGCACTATTAGCAGTAAATAAATGACACTTGACAAATTGTTTATTATGAAACGAAGTATTATTAGTTACAGAAAACAAGGAAGATTTATTCGTTCGGAATCGCGTGTCCCCCAACACGAATGCACTGCCTAGCCCGTGAGACCATTGCGTCGAAGGAGTCATGGATCCATCGTTGTTCTAGATTACGGCATGCTGTTACGATTGAGTTGCGAAGCTCTTCTAAATTCTGCGGTTGCTGATCGTGTGGTACATTCCAAATTTGCTGCTTAAGGTATCCCCAAAGAAAAAAGTCGCATATTGCCAGGTCTGGAGAGCGAGGGGGCCATGGCCAATCCCCACGTTTGCTCATCAGTCGAAGAGGAAACTGTCCGCGAAGGTATTGCATTGTTGCATTACTGGTATGGGCTGGAGCCCCATCTTGTTGCCACCACATGTTATTCTTATCAATGTTATGAACGTGTAAGTCCCTCTGTATAACATGGTAACGCATAATACGTAAATATTCTCTTGTATCGAGGTTTCTCTCTGCAAAATGTGGACCAAGAACAACGCCTGCTCGAGTAAGACCAACCCATACCATCACTTGATCGGTACCTTGAGCAAATTCAACGTAATGGTCTTCAGGATGTCCGTTTCCATAGGGTGCATACTTTATAACATTTCTCGTATTTACTTCTGACTTTAAACTAAAGACTGCTTCGTCAGATACAATCAACTGATCAAGAAATTGCGGGTTCTGTTCAAATGTATCGACGAGTCGGTTACAAAATGCCATTCGTTGTACAGGATCACCTTCCCTTAACTTCTGCCGTTTAATCATAACGTATGGGTGGAATTTAATGTCTAATTTAACAATTCGGTGAAATGAACTTCGACTTAACCCAAGCCCGTTTCGTCGGGAAGATCTTTTGCCATGTTGCGATAAAGACTCGCGTACAAGTTCGATATTCTCTGGCGTCCTTGCGGTTCTTTGTCGACCACTTCGACCTTTATTTAAATCGTGGCATGTCGCTTCTCGCAGAAACTTCCGATATGTTGTGCTGATTGTTCGTTTCGTTGCAGCAGGAATATTACCCCAACGACTCGGCCATCGTCTTCTAACTTCTGCCGCGTTCTGAAATCTTGCATGCTCTAAACACACCCATACTCTTTGATCTTTACTTAATCTTCGCATGTTCAGGATAAACTCAAAATAAAACACATTCAAACCATAATTCCATAAGGCACAACATGCAACTCCCCAGGTACATCCAACATTTTTCGAACAAAACGTAATGAAAACAATAGCGCTGATACTGTTATATGTGTAATTGCAAAAAGGCTGTATTATTTTCTCCATTAAATAATAATACTTCGTTCCATAATAAACAATTTGTCAAGTATCATTTATTTGCTGCTAATAGCGCATGTTAAGAAAAGCTTGATTAATATTTGATTCGGCGTTTTTTGCATAATTTAGACACATCCAGAAATATGCTACCAATTTTGAACATTGATATCTCCGTAAGTTTTTAAGTAAAATACAACTGTAATATATCAAAATCTAAGTTAGTCTTCCCTCTATCTAGTGAAAGTTATTTCAGTTTAATAGCTTAGCTAGTTTAGAAGCTATTATGAATAAAACCGGAGTACTTTTTTTTGGGACACCCGGTATATATATATATATATATATATATATATATATATATATATATATATATTAATATATATATATATACACCCATTTGCAAAAACGTTGGCCGCAGATAGATAGATAGATAGATATTCGAAGTCTAATTATAATTGCATATGATTACATTTGCATGAGATTTCAATCATTTTACACAGCATATGCATTTCTAATTAGATTTTGAGTATCTATCTATATATCTATCTGCGGCCAACGTTTTTGCAAATGGGTGTATATATATATATTAATATATATATATATATATATATATATATATATATATATATATATATATGTCATGGTTGACTGCATTTCGTTCATATATTGATGATCATTCCACAGCGACCATGCCTCACAACGAAATGCAGTCAACCATGACAACGCACCCTCAACTACCGCTCATATCAGATCAACATCAAAACAACCAATTAGACGCTCTCAGACTCTCTTAGACGTATACAAAGTCTTAAAAAAAAGCGTGAAACTTAAATATATAAAAGCTAGGCACATGTAAATAATTTCGATATTCTGAAGAAGACTCGAAGCACCGAGTAGAAAGCTCAATAAATCCGGAGAACATTCATTGACAAACAAATATATATGCTTTGTGTGTTGTACGGCAGTGGCTTCATGAATTTCGCTGTTGCTAACTTGATTTTGGGTAAAATCAGTCTGGACTTCGCCCCTAAAAAGAAACAAACTAAGTTAATCTGGCCCAGAACAGCACTTAGGGAAATTACAAATAGCTTAAGAAGGAACTAACGATTCATCATCTTCTAATAACACGTCCGGAATGTTTTCCGTTATACAGGGGATGGTAATTTTACTTGAACATTTGTGTGGAGGCAGATTTTCATCAAAATCCATAACAGGAAGCGTTGTTTCTTCATCACATGCTGCCATGCTAACAAGTGCTCGGTCAACTGATAAAATAGGTGAAGCAGGATCCAGCTTAGGTATTCCACATGAGGACAAAGTAAAATGAGCAGGGTAGTAACTAAGTGATCCAACCCAGTCATACAGAGAGGAAACTTTACACGAAGGTGGAAATCTACAGGAACTCTTTCACATCGAGATTTGTACAGACTTTCTTCCTTATCCATTTCTTCTCTCATTCGCTCCATGTCACGTAGTTTTTCAAATTCCAATTGCTGATCATTGAATAAGGATTTTCGGAATTCTTCATCTTGCTTTTCTCTTAGATTACTTCTTTCTACTGATGTTCCAATTAGGATACTACTGGAGTGGGGTGCACCAGAAACAGGTGTCCCAATTAAAATATTACTGGGCTGGGACTCATCAGGAAGAGGTGTTTCAATTAGAATGCTACTGGATTGAGATTCACCAAAAGCAGATGGTAATTCATCTTCACTGTCGCTTAATTGCACGCTTTCCACGGTGTCTTTAGATCTGGACAATAAATACAGCCGTATTCTGGACAACTTGTGATGTGAAATTTACTTTGCAAGAGTAAAATCACCATCGTCAATTTCATCGCATTTGAAATTGCCCAACACGAATTTCATAGTGGAAGCATTGCCAAAAACACTTTTTCCATTTGGGAAAAATATATCCAACATTTCTTTCAGTATTTCCTCTTTTGTACTACAAAGTGGTAAAACTAAATCCCGGGTTCCTCCACCTCTTCCCATACGAACCGGAACATATCGGTTTTGCTTGTCATCAAAATGCTGCCATCCCATCGATATCTTGCGTTGTGACATTTTAACAGGTAATGATTCAGGTTTGTTTTCCGCTTTTCTTTTGGAATTCTTACTCCTTGGAAGCTTAGACTTCAAGGTTTCAAGAAGTTTTCTCTTTTTCTCGTTTCTCTCATCCTTCCTTGGTTCACTATTTTCTCTACAGAAGGCTCTTAATGCTAATATGTCTCCCCTTTGTGTTAACCCTAAACCGTGAATTTCTTCATCTTTGGCCATTGTTATAGCTGCAACATCCATCTAAAATCCACACAAAATGATAGAAAAGCAGTAGGAACTTGAATATAGCTAGGGACAGTAGGATTGATCAGTAGCGTAGCCAGCCTGTTGATTTGTCCCGGTATGCTAATATTTTGGTGTTCACTGACTGTGAAAACAATAGATTTCTAAAGACATGAGTAATTATACTAACTCGAAATTTACATAGCGGGACAAAATCGCCAGGCTGGCTACGCCACTGGGAATGATGTAATTATCAAATTTTATAATCCCTCAGTTTGGGTTCCATTTAGCGTACAGGCATGCAGGCACATATAATAGGCCATTCATTACAAAAAATTGCTTGTGTTAACTGCCCTTATAGTTATAGATGGGTTAAGAATAGCCTGCTAGCAGGCTCTTTCGTTGGAAGCGAATTAAAGTACTTGCGCCAGAAAGGGTCTGCAGTAATGACCCTTCTATCATCCTAAACGCCCCTAATAAGAACTATTTTAACCGACCAATCAGAATTAGGCGCATGTGTTGGGGAAAGTCCAAAAAATCGTTTCTTTGTAAACATTGTAAACATATATGTCAATCAAACTTAAATTAAGCGATATTTAAAACAGATTTCGTTTCGCTGGCTAACCACGTCCTTGCCTTAATTCAAATAAATTTCTAAAAGCTAGCTTGTGTTCACTTTTTATTGGAAAACAAAACGCTTGACGGCCCCAAATCATTCCCCCACTCAAATTCTATGGGGGTTTTTTATCCAAGAACCTTAGATTTCATTCAAGATGAAATAAATTTCTAGTGTATATATATGTATATATATATATATATAATATATATATAATATATATATATATTATAATATATAATATATATATGGACACTAACGGCGTGCTGGCTCACGTTTACTTAAGGAGGCCATTATTTAAAGATGTGGAGCCCATATATCCTACATCTAGTTCTTCTCCCTCCCTCCCTGCCCCCCTTGACAAAAGTTCAAGGTTCATGTATATTTCGGGGCACTGAACTACTTACGTTTACTAACTCTGTGCCTTTTATCACGCCGGCACTCCCCAAAAAATCTCCAGCAGAGGAGGGTAA